ACTCCTGAGCTCAAACAATCCGCCTGCCTCGGCCTCCCAAAGTGCTAGTATTACAGGTGTGAGCCACCACGCCTGGCCTATGCTATCATTCTTGTAGATATATTTTATCATTTTCCTGTTTTCAGAAGGTTTTTTTTTTTAATTGGCACAGAAGATCCTTCTTAGCTGATCCATGTCTACCTGTAGCTTCTCTCCCATGTGCCCCACTTTCACTACCGTTCCCAACAATTTCCTGCTATTTGTAGTTTTCAAGTATGCTCTCTTCTGCTGCAATGCCCTTGCACAGCTATTCCCTGTGACTGAACTCCCCTCTTTTCCTTTTCCTGGAGAACTCCTGCTCATTTGTTAAGATTGCCATTAAGCATTACAACCCCTTGGAAGTTATCCCCAGGTAACTTCCTTCTCTGGGCCTCATGCCTAAACACTCAGCTTCTATCACACTGTGTTGGTTTGTGTCTCTCTCGTGTGTGTTCCTTGTCTATGGGCACTCTCCTTGATGTTTAATTTTAGTTTCTAGCTGGTCCATCATCATCATTAGGTAAGCATGTGTTGAACACATCAATGACTACTTAGTTAGCTAAAAAGCCTTTGAAATAGACATGGACCCATTTCTATGACTAGGTGCATCATCCGTGTTCACCAAAGTGTAATAAAAAAAGAAGCAGGAAGAAAAGTTCTAGTTCCTAAAGTTCTCTTAGATTAATGAGTGAACCAAACTTCTTTTTAAACTTTAGACAGTTGAAACAGCTTTTCCAAAGGCAGTTTGCTTCTTTATGAAATATTCATGATGCCTGCTTCTTTTGATCTATCCCTATCACCAGCCTGAACAATTTGACAATGTTTATGAATTACTCATCAAAGCCCAATGTGTTGAGCATATTTTTGAGTTCATCTACAACCAGGGTGATACTGGAGAAATTTCCATTTTTTCAAGCTGCCTAACGCTCAGATCAAACTTCATGTATAAACAGCATATTTAAACAAAACTCATTGCATGCCTACTGCGTGTGAAGAATGTTCACAGATTCTATTTTATTTAATCCCCTTTTATCTTGCAAAGTATTTATCTTTATTTGCACCTTAAAAGTGAGAAGACTAAGGCTCAGAAAGGACAAGTGACCTGCCTTAAAACACAGAGCCGAGAGGCAAATCCAGTTCTCTCCAACGCTGAAA